TATATATATATATATGAATAGCATTTCTCGTCCAATTTTACATCTACCAATGATGAAATGTGATTATTCTAATCAGTACATCTTTGAATGAGTAAATTCACACCTTGACCAGGCTCTACAATCATTCTATAGGCAGGAGAATGCATATATTTTGGAGACAAAGAAATGGTGAAGTTGGAAATGATCTGTGAAATGACAATCTTCAACTGAACCATTGCAAAATTTCTGCCCAAACAAAGCCTAGGCCCTATGCCAAATGGAATGTAAACTTGTGGAAGTTTGCATGCTTTTAAAATCCCATTTGCGAACCTTTGAGGATTGAACTCATTTGCATCTGTCCCCCAAATTTCGGGATCCCTATGCAGTGTTGGGATCAAAGTCCATAGGCATACACCTTTTGGTACAACAATGTGGCCTATTTGAGTTTCTTGTAGTGCCTCCCTCGACACGAATGCTGCTGGTGGATACAATCTCAGCACTTCTTGAATCACCATTGTAACCTATACATTAAACGGTTTAAGGTGGACTCCGAGTACTGGACATTATATTACTCTAGAAGAAAGGAAAAGGGTGTGTACCGCTTTCAGCTTTGGTAGTGAATCCACTTCCATATGCGTGCCATCAGCACAGACTTGAGTAATCTCTTCTCGTATACGAGCTTGCCATTCAGGATACAAAGCTAGAAGAATTAAGCACCACGATGCAGCAACGGCGGTGGATTCATGTCCAGCGAAATAGATGTTCTTGCAATTATCGACTATGAATTTCTTCGATGAATCCTTGCCCACATCATTTATGGCTCCCTCTAAGATTAACTGCAGTAGATCCTTCTCAGATGATATTTCTACTAGGCATTCCCTTTCTCTCGCATTCACTGCTTCCCAGATCAATGTCTCTATCTCTTTCTCCAAATTATTGACTTCCTTTTGTTGCACACTTGGAAGAAACCTGCAATGGCATGTTCTAATCGGTTAAGCTTCTAGACGAGGTGAATACTCTAATACACATTTCATTTTTGGGAGATGTACGTGAATACCCAAATGTATGGAAACCGAAAAGAAAGCACTGGTTAGTAATGACTTTCTGAAGTGCTCTAAGTTTCGAGAAAATCTGTTTTCCTTTCAAATAAGAGCTCCCAAAACAAGCTTTTGAAATTACATCAGCTGAAAGACTCCTCAAATCCTCTTCAGCTTTGATCTCTGCCATAATGCCACCTTGTGATTCTATGCGGGCGTCCCATTTGCTAGTTAATGTTTCAGCTGAATCCATCATCAATCCCACCATACCCTGCCATTTCAGTGAAGGGCTTTTGACTCAAACTCTTAATTGAGGATTAACAAAAACAATTAAGATGTAAATTAATGGCATATTTTGTACTTTTGACTAATAAAATCAAGAAAAGGAAATGAAAAATTGCATCATTGGATGGTCATCAACCTTTCATCATAGCTGCAAAATCATCTCGACTATGGAAATTGTCTATATCTTTGTTAAATCACGTGATTATCACGATGCTTCAATTCAAATATCTCTATGAGAATCCAAGTTATTTTTCTAGGAAAATACATGATAAACTTGTCTTATCCTTTCACCGTATTAAACAATTCACATATGTTTCAAGAAAAGAGTACTAAAGCCCAGTTTGAGCCCTATTATTTGCAAAAAAAATACATTCTTAAACAATAATTTGACATCATT